ATCATTACCACTTGTAATTTTTTCCTCAGTATGCAACATTTTTAAGCTTTGATGTCAACTTCCACTTAGCAATACTTTTCTTAAACCCTCTTTGGCTTTTGAGTACTCCAAACTGCTTAAACTGCTCTAAATATCTTTTAACCCACCAAAGTTCTAATTAAAAACCACGTTCCATGATTAAGACATGCCTAAAGATGACTCTCATCAAAGAGCCACTGCAGATATGAAATAGGGCTCATTTTTCTTAAGATACTGCGATGCTAAACATGAACTGAGAACCAAGGGTTCTGCATTATAAACCTTCTGCTAAGGAGCATTCCAAGGTCATATTTACACCAACAATTCTTTCATAGAAATATTTTCTTCAAGGACCCAACTGCACACACATACAAGCACTGATAGTACTTTCAAGGACCTATCCAGCTTCAGATAAAAACAAGAATACCATGAAGCTCATTTGCTCTGTGTGCTGCATTTCTTGTGCTGGACAAGCTGCTTTAAATGCCTCAGAGCTGGGGCTCTCCAGGTCACACACTGAACCCTCCCTCCCCTGGGCACCCTCCTCACCCAGGGCAGCACCCCCTGACCCTGCTGCACTGGGCTTACAGCAAGTCAGGGCTGCAATTGCTGCACTCGGGGTGCACATCTGGGATGATTCTTCTGGACATCCCAAAGGATCTCCATCCCCTCTCTGCAGACTGGCTCCTTGCTGTACTTCAGAAGCTGCAGCTTCTGCTCTGAACCTCTGTTTACTTTGGAAAAACACTCCACAGGTCAGGGTGTCAGTCTGACAGCTCTGGCAGCACATTTAAGGCAACTGTGAAACCAGGATTGGTGCAAAGAGCTACAGAAACGGGTACCCAGCACATTCCCACCCCTCTCCCCAGCTCCAGGTACCAATTCTCAGCCTCCCTTGGCAGCATTAGCACTAATGAAGGATGGGCCATGTCAAAGAACTGAATCAAGCAACTCTCATTCCTAACATACTTGCTCCAGAAAAGCAACACATTTTCACGGATATCACAGAATCATTAAGGCTGGAAAAGACCTCTAAGATCACCAAATCCAACTGTTATCTCAGCACCATCATGTACCAGTAAACCATACCCCAAAGTGTCATATCCACATGCCTTTGAAACACTTCCAGGGATGGAGACTCCAACACTTCCCTGTGCAGCCTGTTCCAAAGCCTAAGTACCATTAGCACTGATACAAGCTTTACTGAGGGAAGGCTAGCCAAGGGTGGGAGAAAGGATCAGCAACACCTGCTTGGCAGCATCCCATGCTTAGATAGAGACAGCAATGAAATAATCTGAGGGAGAACTACCCCAACAGTTTAAACCATTGATTTTCCAGTATCTAATCCCAAATGTCTCTGCCTCAGTGACTGGAACCAGTCTAACACTGTCCATCAGCTGAGAGCTGACTGAAACCTGAATTGCCATGGAGCCCAAGAGAGTGCCAAGGTTTCTCAGACCAGCTTTGATAAGGATTTGTGTCAGAGATCTGTATCTTCAGCTCAAGTTCAGACAGATCACATGAAGTACCAATAACTTTAGTTTCACAGATCTGAGTTTTTAGGTAAAGAGGCAAGCAGGGGAGTTGTTCTAGCCTTACAGCTTGCCATATTTTAGCACGGTGTATGTTTCACCAATTGAACTATAACTAGCTAAAAATAAGGTGTTTCAATAGATACAGGCAAGAAACCAACAAGCAATCCAGACATGCCTGAACTACTCTTTCTCCAACAGCCTGCCCCTACTACAAATGTATAAACGCACATTTATTCAAACATTGAAGTTAGGTTCAGGTGAACACAAAGCTGGTGGCCAGCTCTCTGATACAGAGGTTTCCTTGCAGATCAGTCCTTTGCTGATTTATTTGATACTTGCACAGCTAAAGGTTCCACGCCCCCTGACCAGCCCCCATGCAGAGCAGATAAGGCTCCCAGGGAGAGCCTAGCAAGGCTCACATGGTGCATATCTAAATGTTTGGCACTGAGGCCAGATCCTGCCCTTCAGGCAGTCACTGCTAGAATACAGTTGGCAACTTAGACAACTGCAACTCTGAGCAGCCCTGTCCTCTCCTCTGTCAGAGACTGCCACCCACAGAAGCAGGCACATCCTCACATCCTGGCTTTTAGGGTGCAGTAGGTGATACAGCTGAAGCAGTACAACAATTCTGCTGTGGCTGTGCCATTCTCCAACTCCTCAGAGCTCCATTCTTCATGCTGGCTCTGGCACTCAGCTCACTGTGCAAACCGCTGCTTCAACTTGCAGGCCCAGTGATCCAGTTAATAAAATGAGCTGGCCCTCTGCACAGCTGGACAGGTGCCAAAGCTGGTGCAGGGAAAGGACCAGAACCACTCCTTTAAGCACCTGAGAACCAGCAGGATATTGTGTAAGGGCACACTCTGTGACTGCATTCTGTGTAGCTTAGACACTGGAGGGCCTGATCAGGACACTAATTTCAATTTAAAGCCCCGGTAGCCAGGAGGGCAATAACCTCTCTCCTTGCCTAGCACAAGCCCAAGTTCATGTGGAGGAAAAATTTAAGTTACATAAAAAGAAAATACTATCTACTCACATGGTCAAGTGCTCAGGGCCTTATAAAGGCACTGCCCATTCAGAGGCTCACTAAAGTCCCCTCAACCAAAAGTGAAATGATGATGGTTTGATTTCAGGGTTTTGTTTCCTCCTTTTTAGTTTATGAATTGTTAGAAGAGACAAGAGTTTGTACTAGCAAACTGTACAATTAATAAATTCAGATATGTAAACAAAGTTTAGACAATTACCATGACTCACTTGCAAAGGCAGAGGAAGATTTACTTGAACAAAACCAACCCTCATAAAAGATGCCATTACACAGAAATTCCAGTATCTAAGCTTTTATACCATACCAACTATTATAGTTGTGAACTGAAAAGCAAACAAGGACTGGAAAAATCAGCCTTTTAACTAAGAGCTAATAAAAAACTGAGTTAGTCAGATGACACCAAAAACAAAGGAGAACAAAGTCACCTGATACATGCCAGCACGTGGCTTTACATCTCAATTTAGTGTATTCTGGGCAAGAACTGTTAATGCCACACACATACAAGACTAATTACTATGTACTTGCATGTATTTTTTTTTAACTTTCTCAAATAACCACATAAAACTTCAACAATCAGCTACACTCACTGAAGAGGGAAACATGAAAAGCATTACCAGAACAGATTACTAGCTTTCCTCAATGGCAAAAAACCTTATATAGAATAGCTACTACCACCTGTGCAGTAATGGTGAAACTATTACTAAGTATTTGTTGTGCAAATGATTAACATAAATTTGCACTTTATCAGGAGAATCCCAGCAGGCAGTGCCAGCTGGGAATCAAGTGGTGCAAGTCCAAGCCATACGTGAAATTTCACCATACTGTTCACAGGAAAGACAAAACCTGATAATGCAGTATTTCAGGGTCTCTAATGCAGCTCTCTATCTCTGACCCAGGCAGGGCAGGGTGGCACAAAGAGCCGATCTCCAATCATCACCCTGCACCCACAACTGCGCTCTGCTGATAACTGAGACCTCCTCAACACTACGAGGGTCACAAAAACCAAACCAGGGCGTCTGGGCAGCAACCTCAATGGCACATCTCTGCGATACACTCCCAGTTCCACCAACACCAAACAGAATCACAGAATTAATTAGGTTAGAAAAGACCTCTAAGATCATCGAATCCAACCCATGACGGAACAGACTGAACCCCATCCTGTCAACCGGACCATGCACTGTGTGCCACGTCCAGCCCTTCCTCAAACACCTCCAGGGTCGGTGCCTCCAACACCTCCCTGGGCAGCCCATCCCAATGCCTGATCCCCCTTTCTGAGAAGAAATTCCTCTTAGTATTCAACCTAAGGCTCCCCTGGCACAACTTATAACTGTCCTGTTGTTGCCTGGGAGAAGAGGCCGATCCCCGCCTGGCTACAGCCTCGTTCATGCAGTTATAGAGTAATAAGGCGGCCGGTCCCATGCACCATGGACTCCTGCCGGTGAAGCACCGCCAAACCCCCCTGCCGCTCCTCACAGGACACGGGCTCCAGCCCCTTCCCCAGCTTCGCTGCCCTTCTCCCCACCATCTACCCTCGTTAAAAAAATAACAGAGCCCAACCCAGCCCAGGCAACAAAGCCAGAAGAGCCAAGTTACAGGTGGCCCAAGCGGGCAGGGCCGCTCCCGCAGTGCCCGAGGGCACTAAGCCAAGCCCGCCCTGCCGGCAGCTCCCGAGGGCCCTTCCCCAGGACAGCCGGCCCAGCTCTGCCCGCCAGGCCCCGCGGAGGCGGTACCCAGAGGTGACCCGGGCGCTGACCTTGGCGGAGGTCGGGGTCCTGCAGCACGTCGTGGGCGCGGTAATCCTCCACGCCGTGCAGCCGCAGGATCTGCACCACGGCGTTGCTGAAGCCGCAGAGCGGCTGCGCCGGGCTGCCCTTCATGAACACCACCACCGGGTGCTCCCGCACCAGCCGCTCCACCGCCTCCCGCGACCCCGAGCCGCCGCCGCCCTCAGCACCGCCGCCGTCCCCGGCCGCCTGGCTGAGCGGGCGCCCGGCCCGGCCCCGCAGAGCGACGCCGGTTCCGATCCGCCATGCCGCCCGCACCGCCGCTCTCATCGCCCCGCCGCCGGCACCGCCGCACAGCACCCGCACCGCCCGCCCATTGGCGCACGGCGCGACGGGCCGCCGGAGAGCTTCCTCCGATAGGCGCAGGCACCCGCCAATCATCGCCCACAGCCAATAGGGCTGAGAGACAGCGAAACCCATCCCGCCCAGCAACCCTGAGGTGGCTCCGCTTTCCTAGTGGAGGGAACAGAACGGCTGCAGCTGCATTGGGAGAGGGGTCTGTCAATCAACCTTGGATCGATTAATCCCGCCCCCTTCCCAGACGCGATTGGTCAGACTGCCCTGGGGTGGGGCTTTTCTCGGGATGTTCGGGGGGCGATTGGAGTAACGTTCCTTCCGTTTCCGGGTAGCGGCCTCACGCGGGGCCTGGTCCCAGTCTGTGCGCCGTCCCCAGCATGGACGGGCCGCGCTTCCCCGCTTCCCAGGGTGGACGGGCCTTGCTTCCCCTCATGCACCCCTGTCGGCTCGGCGGGGAGCCGCTGCTGGGCGGCCGCTGCTGGGCTCAGCCTCTCCCTTCGGAGACTCCCGGGCCGTGCCGGCGCCGCCGGCCCTCGGGCGGGCTCTGGGATTTATCTCGCCGGCCCTTTGGTGGTGGAGCTCCCTCGGGCCGGGGCTGGCTGAGGGTCAGGGCAGATCCCTGCAGAGGGGCCGATGGAGCCGGGCTGCGCTGCAGGGCCGCCGGCCGTGCGGGGTGAAGCCGCGGGGCTGGAGCGTGCTCGGTGGCAGCGGAGAGGCCGCTCTGGGACCAGCAGCGCCGTTCGGTCGGCACCTTCTGCCCCCGTAGGCGGCTGGGGCTGTGTGTGTGGGCAGCCGGTAAGCTGCTGCATGGGGCTGTCGCCTTTCTGGCTTTGGCCGTGTCCAGGGAGCGATTGGACTGCGTTCATCTGCCCGGGTTTGGTAGATTTTTGATGGAATAAAGCAGGCGGCTTGTGCCTGAGAAAGCAGCGGTTCCGTGCGTGCTCAGGCTTGGTGCTGATGGTGGAGACCGGAGTGGTTTTGCACAGTTTGACCTTTTCTCCCGCGCACCTGGCAGGGGTGGCAGCGGGGTGGGAAAATGGGAGCGAGGTCGGGCTGGTGCCTGCGCAGCGGGATGGTTCAGTCGGTGCTGGAGCAAGGGCAGAACTGCCTGATGTAGCCAGAGAAGGGCTGGGTTTGGAGCGTGTCCTGCAGCCTGGCCTGTGCCGCCAGCTGTGCTCGGGCTCCTGGGCAGATGCCGAATTCTTTCCAAGAACTTGGCGCAGAGCGTGGCGGTCTCCTAAAGCAGCAGGGCCTATCCTGTAAGTAGAAGAACATGTTGATGATTTTTCCTCTCTACTGAAATACAGTCTCTCGCAAATAACAAGCCACATTTTATTTTGAGTGCTAATTTATATTGCAGCTGCAGTAGCTGGACTTTTGGTATATTCATGACCATTTGTCTTATTTATATCTGTAAGGAAAAGAACTTCTACTATCCAGTTCTGTTCTTGTGAGAGCTTTGCAGACCAGCTTGTTTTCAGCATTCAGAAGAGTGCTCGCCTAATTCTTGTTTTTTATGGAATCCAGCTGATGCTTGAGTGATAACTTTGTTTTAGTTTTTTTGAAGCCACCCTCAGGATCGTTTCTCTTGAATTTTATTTAACTTTATTAGGAACAGATTCCAAAGGGAATTGTTGCAAACTTGCCCCTGCCATCCCATGTGATAGGTTATGAATAAGTACAGTGTTGCTGTAGTATTTAAAAGTAGATGTATTTATGAGGAAACACTTTTAATCTGAGGGCAAAGTTGATATGTTGTGTTGCTGATGAGCACCATGTATGTTGTGAGTTGATATGTTCTGCTTTCAACAAAACATCACAAGCTGTGGTGATCAAGACACAGAGCAATGTTTGTTTTCTGTGGTTAATATGTTGTGATTGATATGGTGAAGGTTGTGAAGTATTAAAAAAAAATGTCCTGTCCGTGGTAGATGGAACTGCAGTAACTTATGCAGAGCAGAAGTATGTTTCCCTATTTGTTGGACTGTTTCTATATGGGAAGACATAAAAAGTGCTAAGTGTAATATCCCAAGGGGTCTCCTTTGTTATTTTAATCCAGTATAAAGATTCCTTGGAAGTGAGAGTGGAATTAAATAAAAATTGATGACAAGAAAGATATCTTTTTATTTTTAAAGACAACTAAGTGTTTTCTTTCAATGAAATATTGGGCTAAGAACAGAATACTGTGGTATCTGCCTTCCTTAATTTTGTCCTAGCTATTCCTACAAAGCTCATTAAAAATAAGTAACACAAAGACATCAGACTCAAGTGTAACAAACCCTTGTGAGTATACATCCTTTCAGAAACCACGTAGAGCTGCAGTTTAATCCTCTGTAGTCCAAGAGGTGCCCCTGGTTGCTGTACCCTGGGCACACCAGGCTTGCAGAGAGAGCAGCAGGAGGAAGCCGAAGCACGGCTGCCGGAGCAGCAGCAGCGTGCGCAATGTTCCTCCCACAGCTGCCACCCTGTTGCCACGGAGGTAATGACTTCTCCCGTGTCATTATTGATCTATCAACAGTCAGAGCAATTTGGCAGTCTGATATTGTTCAGCAAATAGAGTGATGTCTGCTGAACACTGAAAAAACTGCTATAAAATGCTGGGAAGCTTCTCAGAAGTCTTGTGCACTAGGTTAAATAGAAGTACTTCATTTGTAGTTACTGTAGTTTTATGAGATTGGCCTATGAGATATTAAGCTTAACAGAATGCCTTTTCATAAAATATTTAGTATGGTTAAATACTTTTGGATTATGCAATATGCAGCACTCAATTAGAGGATAATTGTGTACTGATAAGACTTAAAACAATTTGCCCATGTACACTCTAGAAACAAATAATTATGTCACCAGATTCCACCTTCTATTAGTCTAAGTGAAGCTTTTTGTGTTTTCCAGATAATTATTTAAATCATCTGTTCAGAAGAAACACTAATGGGATTTGCAAAGACTCCTGACATTTTGCTGATGCTCCTGTTAGAAGACCTCTCACCTCATTTTGGAAACACTAATAAAAGCACCAGTATTCAAACTGCAGAGTTTAAATGCTCACAGTGAGTCATAACCTGGGTTAACATCAGGCATTCTGCTGCAGAACAGAATTATGATTTATAAGTTTGTGGTTTGTTCTCACGTGGTGTACAAGGAGGTGGACATCCAAGAATGGTACTGTCAGCAAAAGGGTTTTTATTTGTTTTTTAAAATGCTAGGGCTAAGTTAGCTGGGGAGAAAGAAAAGTCTCATTTCAGCTTATCAGAACAGGACATGTCTTCATGTTCAAGTCTGATATCTGTGTCATTCTGAGTTGTGATAGTGACTGAAAATGAAGTTCCTTCTTGTGCCCTAACAATTGAGCTCTATTTAGCTGGGGTTTTTTTTGTTTATTGAAGTTTTTAAGTGGGATAGCTTGAGCTCCTCCTGTTTTGCATGCCAGGTAAATCATCTCTGTGTACCATCATGGTATCATCTGGCAGCGCCAACATATCCTCAGTTTTGAGAGCATTATGAGTGTTTAAAATGTGCTTACAATTCTGAGCTGCCTAAATAGTGAACACTGAAAGCACATCTGTGAAATGTTCCTGGTTATTTTGGAAATGTGCTTGTTTTAAAAAGTTGTGCAACAAACAGCAGAAATATAAAAATGCTGTGGGGGTTTTACAGGGAAACTGACATTTTGAAATCTGAACTGTACCTAACTTCCTGTTTTGGGTCTGACCTGGAGATCTATAAGCAAGTTTGTTTCTGAACTGGATTAAGTTATGTCCATAGATCAATGAAATAATACCCATGGATTTTTGGCACATTCCTAAGAGTGTTTTCATTAGCCTTAAAATACAATGTTCCATTTCATAAATGAGATCAGTGAAGAATATTTACAAAGTGACCTGTGTCAGTTTAACTGATGGGGATAAACATGACCTAAGGCTTGATTTAAACCATGTAAAGAGCTTTGGCAGAGAGGGGTCGTGGTAATCATCCAAGGAGAAATGTCTGAGCCCCACATTTAAGAAATAGAATGGAAGGTCATGTTCAGGCTTGAATGTGGACCTTTAAAAGAGGCACTCTTGAGACTTCATTTATTCTTAATGACACTGATGTCACTGTGTGCCTCTTTGCACTGAGCTTTGTGAGTTGTGACACTGTCTTGAAACAAGGACAAGTAGTATGGCCTCTGTAATAGAGGAGCAGATTTGTTCTTTGGGACAAGCAAGCTGCTTGCAACTGTTCTGGCATATGAAAATCTGTTAGATCACAGTTTCTGATTTGCAGATGGTAGTGATTGAGTCTTTCAGTATTACAGAGGAAGCATAACTTTGTATGTATCTATTTCCATGCAAAACTAAGAAATACTGCCTCTAATGGGAACACCTCTGGCCTCTTTTCATCCAGGAATTAGGAGTGCTAAATCTTTGATGGACCTTAGAAAAAGATTGGGCAAGCTCAAGAAAAAATCAATCTGCCAAATATAAAGACGCCATTATGGTATCAAGTCCTGAGCCATAGAAGGCCAGGTGTCAGAGCCTATGCCACAGCATGTGCTGCAGTGGAGAGGGCCAGGATATACAGAGTATCATCATTCAATTTCAGGAAGCTTCAACCCCACACAGAGTAACCCCCATACCACTGTAGAAGGCTTCAAGCATGTACCCATGCAGAGTAACACAATATCACTTCAGAGGGCTGCAAGTGTCTGCTCATCTTGTTCTTTAGCCCAGCCTTTTATCTCCCCTCATGTTGATGCACTGCACCTGTGTGCCTCTGTTCCCTTTGTGGTTGCTCAGTGCCTCTGGGCCCTCCAGGGCTCATTGCTGTCAGTGCTGCTCACCTGCTGCTCACAGCTGTGCCCACTGGGGATGGGCTGGGGCTGCCCCACTCCCAATCACCACAAACTGTTCCTACAGCTGGGGAGTGGGACTGAACTATGTGCATGTCCTGTTCTTTGTTTCCTGTGTGCTCACTTGTGTCCAGTGTCACAGAAACAGAGTCTTGGTGTCTGGTATGGTAATTTGTACAACTGTATTTTATTTGAAGTGCTGGAAGTGTCTTGGCTTTTAGTAAGGCTGGGAAAACCCCATGGCACTCATTGCTTGTAAGAATGATTCTTGTGCCCCAGTTAAGGTTTGCCAGCAGGCTCTGTCACAGCAGTGGTGACAGGGACGCTTTCATTGGCTCAGTTTATTTTAAAAACGTGCAGGTGCCGTGAGGCACAAGAGCATCTGCAATTATCGTGCATGTCGTGACCACGAGGGGGCCCTGGCAGCTCCGGTCAGAATTACACACTGACCACAGGAGCAGGGCTGATTGCTTGGTGCCTCAGTGGTTACATCCCTTCTTGTTCAGCGCTTCTGAATTACCTTACCTCTTTATATATATATATATATATATATATATATATATATGTGTGTGTGTGTGTGTGTATATATATATATAAAAGTTACAATATTTTGCTAAGTAATTTTGCGAAATGCATCGTTACAAAAAATCTAAACTGGCTATTTGATCTCCTCTGTGGCAGAAGACAGTACCAAGCATGTCATCACACATGAGTTTTCATCTGTATGGACAATTTCCCCAAGTAGAAGTTCAGGAGTTTTGCACACATTTTGCTGTATTTGTAAAGTAGAAAGAATTGGTATGAAGAATCTTAAATATAAGGTTTTTTGTATATCTTAAGAGTTTTTAAGCTTGGTACTACAATATTTCAATAAAGATTTTATTTCTTTGCACACCCTTTATTCTTTCATTTTTTTCTAGGAATGTGTGTTAGTGAAATCAGCAGCTGCTTTGAACTTGCTGTGCTTTGAATCCCTGCTTGCTGATCACAGATACTGATGTGTGTATGTTAAAAGTGGCCATGAGTACAGTAGGACTGTTTTTGTACCTGGTCTGTAGAGTTTTTATGTGATGTGAAGAAAAACAGAAACACAGAAATGCAGAAACTTAAAATGAGAGAGGAGGAGTGGGTGTGTTCGGCATGCTTGTATTTGTAATGTGTGGACTCAAACATGAAGCACAGAGTAAAAGTATCTCTTGTGGGAGGCAAACTCCTAAAGAGGAGCCCAGAAACTTGAATTTTTAGATGGATACAGTTAATTAAAAAGAAAAACTTGTAAAACCAGAAATAACAATATACAGATAAAGGAGGTTTGGGGGGGTTTTGATGTTCTAAAATGTTTTTATTCTCTGTTTCTGAAGTATGAATATGTGTATATTTTGAAAATCTGACTTTTCAAAGAGTACTTCCAAATGCTGCATAGAGATACAGTGATTTTCATTACTCTCACTGTGTACATGCAGTGGTTTTATAACTGCATCACACAAACAGGTTTTTTGGGGGACAGTTTTTAACTATGTGCTTTAGAGGGCAAGCAGTTCTTTCATGGAACAAGCAGCTTCTCCACAAATGCAAGCATATGCATCTTTCCTAAATTTCCTTTAAAATAATTGCATGCTTTCTCATGCTTCCCTTTAAGTAAATTTCTTGCAATTCAGTGATTGAAGTTTCCATCCTGCAGTGCTTTCATGTTTCCTCTGAAGTTCATAGTAGCCTTCTTCCCTTGCTAATATCCATGGCAGCTGGGATTGCTCCCCAGCCTCAGCATAGCTGGCAACTTGCAGGGTAAAGAACTGGGCCCTGAAAGTTGTGTGTCATTTAATTGTAGCAGTTCTGGGGCTTGTATAAAGGCCTGCTTTATAATCAGCTTGACTTCATTTTAAACAGACAAACAAAGGCATTTTCAGCCTGGGAAAAAGCTCTGAGTTTCAGAACAATCACTTTCCTTGTCACAGTGATGCTCGGATCACTCTGAATCATCCTTAGACTCCCTTTCTTATCAGTAGGACTTGTGCTCTTTGTTCACATGCTACTTTTCCATCCTTGCTAGTCCTGGGAGACAGGAGGAGACAAAAGTGTACCCTCACAGCTGCTTTCTGTCACTGTACTTTAGTTTGAGACAATCAGAGTAAGTAGATCTGTGCTGTTTTAGTTTCATGCTTGACTACTGTGGTGAATTATTTAAAGGTCTGTGTGCCATGGAAGGACGAAAATAAAACTAAACACTTCCTAGATGGAAAGTCCTTCAAACACTGGCATACATACTGCACCAAACAACTGCTGTATTTCCAATCCCTTAAAAGACTAGATCTGAACAAATTGTTCTACAAACCTATCATGTCTAGGAAAAGGGAGACTAATATTGGTGAAAGTGTAGCTCCAGACTACTGTGAGTCTCAGAGAAATTGGTATAACAAAATTGTATTTGTGTGGGAAGGGAAGCAAGGAATAACTAATTATGGAATGTCATATATCAACAGTTGTCATTCTTCTCTCTTCAGGGGACTTCAGAGAATATTTTCTTAAAGTAGTTGTCAACAGCTTCTATAATTAAAAAAAAAATTGTGGAGAGTAGAAAGGAAGAAAACCTAATGCAGTCAAATTGCACACAGGAGATTTGATTTCAAATCCTGATTTTCATGGAATCTTGGCTTCCCCTGGCTCATTTGCTGAGTGCCAATGGGGGCATTGCTGTTAGCACTGCATCTTCCTAAACCTCCAGCCTTCCATTTGTCTGCTGCTCCCTTCACACTTTCAAAGCACATCAAAGAGGCCCCTTCAGGTACTGGAAGGTGCTCTAAGTTCTGCCTGGAACCTTCTCTTCCATTGTGACCCTGCCTGTGTGTTGCTCAGTAAACTGCAGTGTGTTGCACCAGGCTGTCAGGGTAATTGATCAGGACTGGACTTCTAGGCCAGCACTGAGAGTTCACAGGATGTGACCAGACTTTGAGTGTATCACAGCATTTGTGAATTTGAAAATGGGGTAGTTCTTATTGAGCGTAATTGGAATTACAGTGTCCCATTTGCCCTGCATTTCTGTTCCTTAGTGTTGAATTTGCTCTCACTCAGAATAAGACCAGTTTTCCCCAGCCCCTCTTGATATCTGAGGTGAGTTGGGATGAAAAGGGTGTTATTTTTGTGCCAAATTTAATGCAACAAAAAAATTGGCTGAACTCTGAAAGTGACAGGGTGTTGGGACTGATCCAATAGCACAAAGTT